TAATAGTTATCACATTCCATTATTACCGTGAAAAAAATGTATGCATGGGCATCTTTGATATAAAAGTTGTAGAGTAATATACATCTGTGGATTTATCAAATTGATTTAATACCTATAATATAATATGGCRATTGTCAAAGCGGTTGCGGAAGACGCAGTCGATTAAAGATTCTAATATTTCAATTAGATAGGAAAACAATGAACAAAAAAAATCTTGCTTTCCGTATAATTTTTTTTTAATAAATCACATTATTTTTAGACTTTAATTAAGCAGTATCTGATGCGTTTCAGTGTGAGCGTCGGAGTGCATACACGTMGCGGACTCCAACAATGCCCGAAATAGTTGATACCTATTTAATGTAAGTTTGTTTTCATACCTATTCTTAACTGATAATAACTATATATAAAATTATCAAAAGTTATTGAACAAACAAGACCATAACATTATAATATAATAATTTGAATAATTTAAATTTATTATTTTGTTAATAATATAGGTAAATACTTGTTTGAAGTATAATATAAAAAAAAAAGTTACTTATTAAAATTATCATGACCTTGATAAATAATATAATACTATCTACGGCTTTAAAAATAAAAATTTTTATAATTTTGTTATAAAGTTAATCACTATCTTCATCTTTTTTTTATTATTACTATTAGTATTTGATATTAGTATTATTTATTTCAAATACTTTTAAGTTTCTATAAAAATGATGGTAWGTATCTTGAATAAGTTTTGCTTTGCACAATGAAATTAAATCTTTTTTTGTAAGATTCCATACTCTACAGTAAATGCAAGTTTCAAATTCATGTCTGATGATTTTATTTTTGAATTATTATTTTTTTTAAACTATAGTTTCTTGAAAATTTGCTTGTCCGTAAGTTGTTTAAGTTGTTGTAAAAACAATGTGTCATGGAAGTCTATTGTAACTTTAATGATTTTAATATCTCYCCATACAACTATTTGAACCATAGGGTTTTTATTAAAGTTGTTAGGTACTAAAATCTTTATTATGATAATTTGTTATAGTTATAAATARTACTATATATATAATACTATAAAACTATGTTATAGTTAAGGTTTAAGACCTTTTTGTTGATGTTTCTGATAATTCTGCAGCTTCTTTCTAGTCATTGTCTTTAAAACTATTATCAACATCTTCATTTTCTAAATCTGTAAACAAAATACAATCTGTTGTAAAATAAAGTTCATATAAACATGAGATCAAGATAAAACTATTATTTACTTATAGAGTTAGTTAGTTTATCACACTAAGTTACCATTGGTACCTACCTACTAGCTTAATGTRTACTTTCATTTGATCAGTTTGAATGTGTGGTTTCCAATTATAAATCTTCTAAAATAATATAATAGTAATATAGCTTGTAAAAAATTGCACAGTTTAGCTACTAAGTTCTTTTTATTAGAATTATTTTAAATAAAATAAATAAACAAAAAGCGGGTAAGTCATGGATGTCGCTCTGCTGTACAGTAGGTTACTGTAATGGATGGGATTAAAT